GGCGGCCGCAGAGTTTGATGAATTGGCAAAAGAGGGAGTGCCAGAAGCGAATATGGTAAAAAAATATGAAAATTAAAATATTTTTTTTTTATGTTTAAAATTTAAATTGTATGTTATTTAATTAGGGTCTTGCATTCCTCTATTCTGTTGGCGTTGGTGGCAAAAACGTCAGTCAACCACTGACTTTGATTCATTTGACATTAGCAGCTCTAGGCGAACATACATTTGCACAGATGGCGCTTGGATATCGATATTTGTACGGAATAAATGTGCCAACTAATTGCGAGAGGGCGCTAATGTATTACAAGAAAGTAGCCAAAAAAGTTGCCTCCAAGATTACATTCTCTAACGGACCAGTTGTCCATCGTGTACGCTTACTAGATGAGTCTGAAAATCCTGGCAGTCAAGAAACTGAAATCGTTGACTACTATCAGTTGTTAGCAGACAAAGGCGATGTTCAATCTCAAGTGGGCCTTGGACAGCTCTACTATCAAGGTGGAAAAGCAATACAACAAGATCACCAAAAAGCATTGGAATATTTTACTAAAGCTGCAAACACAGGCAATGCAATAGGCTATGCCTTCTTAGGCAAACTTTATTTAGAGGGTAGTGAATTCATCAAGTCTGATAACGAAACCGCATTCAAAGTAAGCAAAACAAATAGCATTTAACATTCTCCTATACATTTTATACGGATATTATTACAGTATTTCAAGAAAGCAGCTGAATTGGGAGATCCAGTGGGCCAAAGCGGATTGGGACTAATGTATCTGAAAGGACTTGGTGTTCCAAAAGATCCACTGAAGGCTCTAAACTACTTCACGCAAGCCGCGGATCAGGGCTGGGTTGATGGTCAACTTCAGTTGGGCAACATGTACTTTAGTAAGTTTATACTACATACATGTAGTTAAATTACAGTGTTGACTAAAAATTTCAATTTAGCTGGCAATGGTGTGAAAACTGACTACAAATTGGCGCTTAAATACTTCAACTTGGCTTCACAATCTGGTCACGTATTGGCTTACTACAATTTGGGTATAATGCATACCTACGGCATTGGAATGTTGAGATCTTGTCCAGCGGCTGTGGAATTTTTCAAAAATGTTGCTGAACGTGGTAGATGGAGCACGAACATGATGCTCGCTTATAACGATTACAAAAGTTATTTCACTGACAAAGCGTACATGCAATATGCATTGCTAGCTGAGTTGGGCTACGAGGTTGCCCAAAGCAATGCGGCTTTCCTTTTGGATCGCGGTGACGTCAGTATTTTCCATGATCGACATGAGGAGCTTATACGTGCGTTTTACTATTGGAAAAGAGCGGCAGGACAGGGCTACTCAGCGGCACAAGTGAAACTAGGCGATTATTACTATTATGGCTGGGGAACGAATATTGACTTTGAAACGGCAGCTTCTCTGTACAGGTGAGTTTCCCGGTTTTTTATATAAAATAGATTTGAGTTGACTGCATTGTTTTTCGTTTTAGAAAAGCATCCGAACAGCAGTATAATGCACAGGCTATGTTCAATCTTGGCTATATGCACGAACAAGGGCTGGGCATGAAAAAAGACTGGCATCTGGCGAAGCGCCTCTACGACCTTGCTGCTGAAACGAATGCAGATGCAAAAGTACCGGTAGCCATAGCCCTTCTTAAACTGCAAATGCTTGCAAAAGTTGAAACCATTAAACAGGTAAGATTTTTATATTTAGAAACTGGTGAAGCTAATATGTAATAATATTACTTTCAGTCGCCTTACAAATTCATATTCTACATGGACGAAAATATTGCCGCTAATTGGGACTTGTACATGATCACCATATTGACACTGTTGCTGGGATTTATTATGTATACTAGACGTCCGTATCAGGATCAACAACCAGCTGATCAGCAGCAGCAGGAACAAGTAAATCATGAAGCAGAGCAGCCACAGGCTCAGCAACCGGAGTGAATTAGCATAAAACCTACTAAATAGTAATACTTTTTAGGTGTAATTAGTTGATATGTGTATATAACAGTCAATAATTTAATGTTATTTGTTGCTTTATCATTAACATCGCCATAACCAAGACCATATAGGCGGCATGAAGCTTGTTTTAACAAGTATTTTATTTTTTTAGCACATAAATACTAAACCATCTTAATAAGCCAATTTTGAAAACGATAGATTTTTTTTTTTTAGAAACGAAAATGAATCTTTCACATCATTTAAAAGTTGTCTAAATAAATTATTTTATACCACAACTTTAATATTTACTTTCAATACTGATAAACAAGTTTTTATGAAATAAAATCGTATTAGGAAAGGAGTTCTCTAGATTCATGATATTTCAATGAACATAAAAATGTTATGTAATGTGTAAGGCCATTTCACTTTTTTATAGTGGCAACGTAAATATCACAAAAAAATTGTATGCCAACGTAAACGTAAGCTAATTATATTACTATTGGCCTTGAAGTTTGGCAGTTATTTGACTAAGTCTTTCGTCTTTCTTTTTTTACACAAAACTCCTATTTACGTTATTGATTAATTTTATTTATGAGTTATACATACATATATTCTTCCAATGGTCGAAAACAATTTCGATTTAATGTTATTTATTTCAATGTTTCGTTTTCATTTAATTAAAAATAATATTAGCAAAATAACTAAAAACTGCATAGTGGAAATGAGCAAAACAAATATGATTTGCGCTCAAGCATAATAATTCAGGTTAGCTTTCTTCTTTGCTTGTACTTCCATAATAGCGTCCATGAAATCTTCATGTGTGACGCAAGTGGCATTACGGCGTAACGCTATCATACCAGCTTCTACGCATACGGCTTTACATTGCGCGCCGTTGAAGTCATCGGTGGAACGTGACAACTCCTCAAAGTTAACATCATTGCTAACATTCATTTTACGTGAGTGTATTTGCATAATTCTGGCACGCGCTTCCTCGTTGGGATGTGGAAATTCTATTTTACGATCCAGACGTCCTGAACGTAATAGAGCTGGATCCAGAATGTCGACACGATTTGTGGCTGCAATAACTTTAATATCAGCAGTTGAGCTAAAACCATCTAGCTGATTCAACAATTCTAACATGGTACGTTGCACTTCACGATCACCAGCTTTCTCGGAATCAAAACGTTTTGTGCCAATAGCATCCAATTCATCGATGAAAATAATTGCTGGTGCTTTCTCTTTGGCTAAAGCAAAAGCATCACGCACTAATTTAGCGCCATCGCCAATAAACATCTGCACCAACTGTGGACCAGCCAACTTCAAAAAAGTAGATTTTGTTTGTGCAGCACAGGCACGGGCTAATAGTGTCTTACCGGTGCCGGGAGGGCCATATAGAAGAACCCCCTTTGGTGGATGAATACCCAGAGTCTTAAATTTATCTTTGTGAGTCATTGGTAATACCACGGCTTCAATCAACTCTTGTATTTGTTTGTCTAAACCACCAATATCTGAATATTGTTCAGTTGGTCTTTCATCGACTTCCATAGCCTTTACTCGCGCATCATATTCCGCAGGCAATGTTTCTAAGATTAGATACGAATCTTTGTTGACTCCTACTAAGTCACCGGGCTTCAATTTTTCTGCGTCCACCAATCCAATGACTGGCAAGAAATAAGCCTGACGTGTGGAAGTCTTGATAACGGCGCATTTGCCTTTCCTTTGATTGTCCAACACTAAAACAGCACCATCATCCTCTTCTTCTTGAGGATCTACGTCCAGCAGTTCAATGACGTTTGATACCAAATATGGCAAAGTTTTGTTAACCTAGTAAGTAGAAAAATTGTTATAACAAAATTTGGTAGTATATCTATCAGATTACCTTTATCTTTTCCGTATTATCCTTAATTTTTTCATTTTGGGCTTGAATTTCATGGGTAATACGCATAACCTCACTCTTCATGATCTTGATTTCATTATCCATTAGACGCGTCCTGCTGACTATTTCGTCGGTGGACATACGTAGTACCTCCTCTCCCAAAGTTTCCTCACCATCATCCCAAATGGATTTATCTTCAAGAGTAGTCGCCATTTGACAAAAAATATATATTTATTTACTTAATACTCTGCAAAATTTTTGTCAATATTTCGCTTTGATTCCCGACTTTCGATGACTTGTAAATTTTTGTTTTGTGCTTATTGTGACATTTCTCTACCGCTTGTCTTGCTTTAATAGTCCTACTTCATTATATCGATATCAAGCGAATTAGTCGACTTGACTCATACTGTATCGATTTTTTATACAGTCAGAAATACTCTGATCAACTAATTAATTTTAACTATTTATCAAAGCTGGAGTTAATAGTAAGTACATATATTATATTTTAAATGTTTTTCGAGAAAAATATATTTAAAAGTATTCAAACAAAATTGTTTTTCCTACCGCTTAACTGAAATAATATAATTGTCGATTTCGAGCGATTACAACACTATATATATAAAATAAGTTTTGGTCGGTATAGCCAGGTATTATCTATTACAACTAAATAAAAATTTATTGCCCATTTGGAATAATTGATGAAGCTAAGCATTCTAATTCGTAACGTTTATTATGTGAAAACAATTTCCTATGAATTTATCTCATTTTTTTTATGAAAATTCTTATAAATTTTTGAGTTATTTGCGTCAAATGAAAAATTACAAATAACAATATTTTTAAATAAAACATGATTACATGTTATTAGGTTGTTTCGATTGCCCCAAAAACAAGAATTTCTCAACAGTAATTGGATCAATGATGTCAAAATCAACTTTGATTTTATGATTCAAAAATAAATTTTTTATAAATTTCAACAAATCTCTACAATGAAAATTTAAGTAGCATAAACTTTAACTTTTCAGGTATTTTCAACAGCTGATCGTAACTGCCTAAAATACTCTGTAGTAGAGTATTGTCAAAGTTTTGTGTTATGTTTACGTAGCAAGGTTAAGGTTATGTCAACTGGTTTGACCCTTCAAAATATAAATATGTATGAATTTATTAATAGTCAGCTGTGGGAGGAATTGAGAAGATAATGTAACGAGAATTTTATGTGAATGGGATTAAACAATACATTTCAGCGTCACTGAGCAGTGTAGACTTGAATTATTTATGATTCGACGATAAAAAATCTCAAGCTTTGTTTGGAAGCTTTCGTTAGTTTCTTTTGAGAGTAGTGATTCATCCAAATACGGATAAATATGATTGTAAGTAAACTATTTGGCAGTACACCGTTGTATCGTTGCTATTTAAACACATAATATCTTGTCTAAAAACTGGTTGCGAAGCGCACGTGTACTAAGGTGTAAGCAGAGAGAGTTTGTAAAAAGTTGTTTGTTTGGGTAGTGCCTAAGAAATATCCACTAGTTGCTTTGTATGTGCTGAGCTGAGCTTTACACATTTAGTCGTAAAACTTTCGCTACAATGAAAATTACTCAATAACTTCTTCATTTCAAACAGTCTGCTATGATTGCTCGCATAACGTTTTATCCATCATTGTTTTACAATGTAATGATGGAAAAGGCATCCTTAAGGAATTGGTACGATCGCATTGATGATAATGTAATTTTGGGTGCCTTACCCTTCCGTTCTGAGGCAAAGGAAGTAAGAAAATATTTAAAATTATCTGTTTTTTTATTGTGCTACATCTGTGCCAAATTCTTATATCCGTAGTTGATCGCTAAGGAAAATGTGAAAGCAGTTGTGTCCATGAATGAAGACTACGAACTGGCTATGTTCTCCAATGACACGGAGAAATGGAAATTGCATGGAATTAGTTTTCTACAGCTACCGACTACAGATATTTTTGAAGCACCGAATCAAGATAAACTTTTTGATGGAGTACAATTTATAAACAAATTTCTACCTGAAGAGAAACGCATAAGGAGTTTGAGTGCGGCTTCCGAGCCTGAGAATAATGGGACTGTATATGTTCACTGTAAAGCTGGGCGCACGCGTAGCGCTACTCTTGTTGGATGCTACTTAATGATGGTGCGTCTGTTCAAAGAACCATAATTATACCAAGAAACTTTATTTCTATTCAGCTCCTTGAGAACAGTTTTTGTAAATATTATATTATAGTTATAAAATGTGTTAAAGTACTATGTCGTTTACTAAATATTTTTTCCCAGTTCATTTACTAATATATATTTTTTGTATTGAATTAGAAAAACGGCTGGTCACCAGAACAAGCAGTGGACTTTATGCGCGCTCGCCGCCCTCATATTTTATTGCATTCAAAGCAATGGGAAGCTCTAAGAATATTCCACAAGAAAAATGTCGCAAGTACGTGACCCCTTAAACATGTATCGGAAAGCACAAAAACGTTTTGTATTCTGTATTATACATTGTTATTCAAATGTTTTAACTTTACGTAATAAAGTAGACAACGTCAGTTGTTATATTTATGCTAATGTATACAAAACGACGTTTAACATTTCGTTATTGTTGTTACATACTTATAAACCTTACGGGAAGCATAAATTTAATAAAATTAGTGACTGCAGTGATACATCGAGACTTGGTGTTTATAATTTTATTTCATTGTTTATTGGTTTATAATTGTAGTAAGACAATTTTTTATACGCTCTAATGTCGTTAAAAAAATCTAATATTCTCCAATAGTTACATTTCATATACGATTAAATCGAACAAAAAATTAAACTGTTTACGTATTTGGCTGTTTCTTCGTGTTTGACATAACGGTGTGAATGTAATTGAGAAAATACAATTATTGAGAACCGGATTCCTCAACAGCTGAACCAGATCCAGCAGCCTTAATCTTCCAAATCTGCTTAATGGAGTTGGTAATTCCGACATCATTTTGTATGATATAGAAAAGTCCACCAAGTGTTGCAATAGACAGTAATATCAACCCACCATGGGCGACTTTCGGTAAAAGTGGTCCAACCACTTGCGGGCGAGCATAATCTGTGATTATGGCCTCTACACCCCTTTTTCGAAACAATATGAAAGAAGATATAAAGAATGCAGATTATTCGCTGCAAAAATAAATTTTTTTTCTTTACCAATGGGAGTGAAGGACTACAGAGATCGCAAGTAGAGCATCGAGCGTTTGCGAAGGGTAGATAAAAGCAGCAGGAACAACACCCAACAGGGAAAGAGATATCAGACGTTCAGCGGTCCATAAAGGTGTGTGATTGCCTTTAGCTGCAGCCAACTTAGGAGAACTTAATGAGAAGGTTCTTGACATGAACTAAACAGAAATGTTCATTATAAGTTTTTGAAGGTTTATATTATATACAGAACATGCCTGTGCATTATTCATTTTACTTAAAGTTTTTAAACTTTCTGCAGAAAGAGTACTCTTTGTTGTTAAAGTCTTCATCGGTAAAGATAAGGCCGTTTTTCCTAGTCCTACAACTTAAAAGATCGTGATTATATAATGTAATACAAATTCCGTACAAATATTTACCATTTAATTTGCCGGCATTACGCAGCATTACTGAGAGCGCCATTTTTGATATATCACTTGGATAAGAATAATAATTAATTAACTATGATCTTAAATAATAAGTACTTGCTTATTATTTTTTTTTGCAGATTTTCTTTCCAGCTCCACCAGATTATCTGATTTCGTTTTTTTATTTTTCTTCGACGAGTGATATAAAAACAGCAGTTCCAAGTGTCAAATACATACCGCGTTGCCAAGTATACATGAAAAATCGTTATCGATATAAATGTCACTTGCCACATTTTGTTTTACAGAACTTAACTTATATATAAAAATAATTTGCGCAAACTAAACTTTTGCAATATTTACAATGTGTGGTGCATGCAGAGAACGTAAAATACATACATACATGATATACGTTCTCTGCTACAATTATCTGGTATTACTTAATATTGTAATATTTTCAATGTCTACGAATATACTTATATTTTTTTTTTAATTTATACAACAAACTTTACATCAGCTTTTACTTTTTAATTTATTTAAAAATGGACGGTTTAATGTACTTAACTTTTGTACGTTTTTATACACATATAGATTTAAGCTTATCGTTATAATTTCCAATGAGGACGGAATGTATACACATAATCGAATATTTTTACTTATGGGCTAATAAGACACATTCAAGTTTGTAAAGTCGTCAATTATACGTTCTAAGAGATTCCTGATTAAGGTATGTCGTTACATTTAAAATTTTTTAAGATTATGTTTTAAAAAACTATTTGTGAGTAATGTGATGAACACGATTTGTTAAAATAAAATCCATGTGGCGACACTTAAACAAATAGCACTTGCATATGACATTATGGGGTTGGCATCTGCTTTATAAAAATCCCAATCAAATATAATGTTGGACGCGTCTGAATCTTTCCATGGATAGGCACCATCATCAAAGTACATAGGGCAATCGTCTCGCTCTCGTTCGTACTCTATGGCATCAATGGCGACTGCGGCCCCCTCTGTGTGATTCCATGATGTGACATCTTGATTTAGTTTGCAAAATGCTCCAACAGCTGTAGAATAAAAAATGTAGTTTTAATATTATATAAAATATATGTAAAATAACTAACGAATTAATTAATAATGCTTGTAGCATACAAACCTTGCGACATTAGCACACGATTCAAGTCTGCACGTTGATATACCCAACAACGGTACTTAGAAAGTGGATCCAAATCATCGTATGTAATGAGATAAGATTTGAGATTCTCTTTCCAAAAACCTATACACTTCATGCGATAATCCGGGTCACCTGAAATTTCAAATTAAATTGGAATTATTGTTTAATCAAAATTATAAAACATAACTAACTGTATATATCCACAGGCCTTCCCAAGTGATCCACTGACAGACAGTAGTTCTCATCAATAGCCAATTCTTTTTGATCTGTGTCACATACTGATAAATCCGAAATATTTTGTTTGCAATGTATGTTCGGTCGAGGACTTAAGGTTACACCGCCAAGAATTCTCGTTCTGAAGGGATGTTCCCCACGTTGTGTAAAATTGAATTTTCCCGCTACTGGACAACGTACTGGTACCGGATTTTTCGCTAGAAACAAGTCATATTTCCAAGCCTCTGCATTTTTAAATTGAACCCACGAACAAACGGTACTAAAATCGTCTTTGATAACAGCTAAACCTTTGCGATAGCGTATTATATTATGATGACGTGGTTGAAAGTCAAAACAGACATAATCCTTTTGACAGCCATCCACTGTAAGACGAGCCATCATAATTCGATTATCTCGCCGCTCACGACAAACGTATATCGTACGACGGTAACGCGCTCGATCGGGGTAGTATGTCTCGTTTATATGAGTTTCACTAATAGACACATCTGCATCGATATTTGCAGTATTAACCCATTCACCAGAGAAATTTTGTGGGAGTGTACAACCGGGTTCAACATATTCTGCTTTTACAGGTGTAAGCTTAAGACGTTCTGGGGAGTTCTCAGGCGTTTTCAAAGTATTACATTCTGCAGTAATGGAAACACCAATGTACAAATCATCATCACGATTTTTCAAGAAACACCGGTATTTTTCATCTTTACGCGATTCTTTCGTGTTTGCGACCGCAAAATAATGATTTTTACCGACAAACCAATCGCCCAAGCAACTATACTCCACAATACCGGTAAATGTGCCTTCCATACCCTCACACTGTTGGTACGTGACATTAAATTTCTGGTTTTGTATCAAGAATTGAGTGCCAGCTGTTTGACAAGATTGGATACGCGCGTCGGGTTTATTGCAGACACCAGTAAACCGGAAACGATTCTAATGGAATAAAAAAAAAATATGATATTTCTTACATATTTTTCGTTCAGATTTGAAAAGGATATTTTAAATTACCTGATATGTAAAATGCCACACGCCTTCAAGCGACGATCGACAGTTAATGGGCACAAAATTTTCATTAAACAATGTCACTAATTGTTGGTCATCTTTTAACCCTTTGCAAACATTTTCGACGCTTGGCTCTACTCCCGTTGGTATTGAAACGCATGGACCTGAAATGTAAAAGGGACAGTTTCACCTCAAAATTATCTAGATTCAAATTGATTTATACCTTCAATTTTTTCAAACACATTCAGTGTACGTATTACAGTGTGAACACAATGATAGCAATTTGCCGACCGCTCTTTAAAGATAAATGAATACTCATCACCATGGCCAGACATGGTTACACATACTCCACGGCGTGACATGGAAGTCGCATCTATTACTGTTTGTGTGGGATAACCCGTCTCCCATGAGAACCAACTTCCTTGTAAAATTCTTGGAATAATACATCTGTTTTGCTCCAATTGGTTTTGCTGCGCTGAAACTTTTAATCAAATATATATAAAATTTGATAAAGTGAGGCTTGAGTCAGCATCCATACTGAAGCTGGGTGTGGCCAATGAACAATTATTTACCTATGCTTAGAGCGCCGAGAAGTAAAATAAATTTTAATGGTATCATTTTTAACTTTACATTAATGCTTGTAATTTGTACTTAAATTAATCAAAATAATGTTAATATTTATTCAAAACTAAAATCTTGTTATTAACTACGACAGTAATGTTAGAGAACGTATAAACTAAATAAATTGCTGTAATAGCGATGTAAATGGTGTTTTTAAAACATCGATAAATCTTAAGTAATAGATATATTCACTTTTTTCGATATTCGATCGTAATCGGTGACTCTTCGCTGCGTTTCGTTGAGATGAAACAATTTAGTATTTATTTTTATTATATATGGACATTTGCGAATTAAAACAAACGTTAATGCGACGTTTAATTTTTTGCTTTAAAATTGCAATGGTTAAGTATATTTGAAAACTTAGTTCTTTTATTGGCGCAAGACTTTTACGACGGCAACACTTGTTAGAGCTGCCACTCGTAGAGGAAATGGAGTAAGAAATACATTTCGAATTCGAACAAGCACACATTTTTCTTGTTACCGATACAGTGAGTCAGGCGCACATCGTTTTTCATCAACGTTTTAAGATATTGTTGATTTTTTAATTAAAAATCTCAAAGAAGAACCAAAAGTATGTCCACTATTGCAAGCCCTCTGTCCATTGCGGGCACAAGACAATCAGGCGCATCCGTGCGTACACAGAATGGTAAGAAATTTATGGTGTTAAAAACATCTGCGTCCAAACATTACCGGGAGAACGAAAATTCAACATGTGAAATATTCCTTGAATTATAAGACTTTTCGAGAATGTTTTTAAAATAATGTTGCAAGTGTGTAATATTCTGAATATAAAATCAAGACTTACAACTTTGAATCCCTGATTAAAATACATGCATATATGAAAAAGTGAGGTTACAATTAATATCATTTAGATCCTGAAATAAAGCGGCAGGGGTGTGGTTTTAAAAAATATTTTTATACGCTTTTAGTTATGGCTGCGAGTTCCATTGCAAATATTGTGAAAAGTTCTTTGGGCCCAGTTGGCTTGGACAAAATGCTGGTTGACGACATTGGTGATGTCACTGTTACTAATGATGGTGCTACAATTCTCAAATTGTTGGAGGTGGAGCACCCAGCGGCTAAGTAAGAAGATTGAAATATACATTATATATTCAAATAAAAATGTTTTACTTTATTCAAAAGGGTTCTTGTGGAACTAGCGCAACTACAAGATGAAGAAGTTGGCGATGGTACGACATCAGTTGTCATATTAGCCGCAGAGTTGTTAAAGGTACGTAATAATAATATACATTCTTTTATTTAAGAAAATTGAGCTATGCTTATACATATGTCCGCATTTTTTTTTTTAGAATGCTGATGAGCTTGTAAAGCAAAAAATTCACCCAACTTCAATTATTGCTGGATATCGTCTGGCATGCAAAGAAGCTTGTAAATACATTTCAGAACATTTAACAGCTCCTGTTGATGAACTGGGACGTGATTCTCTAATTAACATTGCAAAAACATCGATGAGTTCAAAAATCATTGGTGCCGACGCCGATTTGTTCGCCACAATGGTTGTGGATGCCGCGCAAGCAGTGAAGGTAAATTTAGTCCAATTAAAATATAGGATTATATGGCAAACGATTTTTAATTTGTTGTGCTTTTGTGTAGATCATAGATCCGAAAGGAAGTCCGTTATATTCAATTAAGGCTATAAATGTCTTGAAGGCTCATGGTAAATCAGCACGCGAGTCGGTTTTGATACCCGGTTATGCTCTGAACTGTACCATTGCTTCACAACAAATGCCGAAAAAAATTGTCAACGCAAAAATAGCTTGCCTAGATTTCTCTTTACAAAAGACAAAAATGAAAATGGGCGTGCAAGTGCTAATTAATGACCCGGACAAGCTAGAAGGAATTCGTGCACGAGAAATGGATATCACCAAAGAACGAATCAATAAAATACTTTCAACTGGAGTAAATGTTGTGTTATGCTCAGGTGGTATTGATGATCTCTGCATGAAATACTTTGTTGAGGCTGGAGCTATGGCCGTGCGTCGTGTTAAAAAGAGTGACTTGAAAATTATAGCTAAAGCCACAGGAGCTGCCTTCCTCACTTCGTTGACTAATATGGAAGGAGAAGAGAGCTTTGAGGCATCTATGGTCGGAGAAGCAGGCGAAATTGCACAAGAGCGAATTTGTGATGATGAACTAATTTTGATTAAAGGCACTAAAGCTAGGTAGGTGTTAAAATATAATTGTGCTCGAAGTGATTGAATGATTACATTTCGCTTATAGAGCTGCTGCTTCCATTATTTTGCGGGGACCAAATGACTTCTACTGTGATGAGATGGAACGTTCTATTCATGATGCGCTGTGCGTTGTAAAGCGTGTGTTGGAAAGTAAAAAAGTTGTAGCCGGTGGCGGTTGTGTCGAAGCTGCACTTTCAATATATTTGGAAAATTTTGCAACTTCTCTGGTAAATTAAATAGTAAAATAGCCCTTAAAAAACTTATAAGTATAAATTATTTTACAGAGCTCCCGCGAACAATTGGCTATCGCCGAATTCGCAAAATCTCTATTGGTTATTCCAAAAACATTGGCGGTGAATGCTGCTAAGGACGCTACTGACTTGGTAGCAAAATTACGCGCTTACCACAATTCCAGTCAAACAAAAACGGAACATGCTCAACTTAAGTGGACGGGTTTGGATTTGATCGAAGGTATTGTACGCGACAACAGGAAGGCTGGTGTTTTAGAGCCAGCGATGTCGAAAATAAAGTCACTTAAATTTGCTACTGAAGCCGCTATTACCATCTTGCGTATCGATGATATGATCAAACTAAATCCAGAAGAAAAGGGAGGCAAGAACTATGCTGACGCCTGTGCTGCTGGGGAGCTCGATGGCTAATTGTATTAGAGTGGTCGTATTGCCTCTTCTACATACTTATTATTTACATTTACATTTAAACATTAATGGTAAGGTCAGAGCCTGTTTCGATAGTAACAAATGTCACTTTCCAACCACACACTACATATTAAACAACAGTTACTCTGTTCAGTTCTATTTACAAAAATTTAATAAAAATAAATTTTGGACTGCAATACAATATCTTTTACTAATAAAAAATATTTTCGAAAATGTACATAGATGCGAATTACTGTGCACATTTGATGGCGTAAATCAAAATGTAAATTTATTTTATAAAGGTAGCGTTATAATTTTAATTTTTAGTGGCATGTGTTTATTCGGCGGCGCGCGCACTTTGCGTACTGGCTAAAAATAGCTATGCAGTGTGGTATTTATAAAAAAAGTAAGAAGAAGACAAACATTTTGGACGAGTAGTAGGAATACAGCGGATATATTCACAGGAAAAAAATTGGAGATATTAAAATAAAGTAGCAATATGTCCGAAAACGCTGCAGATTCCATAGAGGATGTTAACAATAATTTAGCAAATGATATTGTGCCTTCACCACCAGTGCAAGATCAACAAGAAGCGCAGGCACAAAGTAATGAACTTTTGGATATAGTTTTCACATTAGAAAGTGAAAAACAGGCGCTGGTAGAAGAGTCGCGCAAGAGAATTTCTACACTTCGTAAAGAATTAGAGGTTAGAATAGTACATTATTTTTAACAGGATTTTAATAACTGAATAGATTTCTGTTGTGATTTGTGAAGCAAAGTCAATCCGAAAATGAGCAACTTAAACGTAGGGTAAATCAATTGGACCAATCGCTCAAACAGTCAGTTATGCTGGGTGGTGTGGATGCTCCCAAGTCACGCCAGGAGCAAGATGAGCTATTGCTAAAAGCGAAAACTTTGCTTTTTGAAAAAACTAAAGTATGTAAACAACAAGAGCAACAAGTTGCGGTGCTCAAGAATCAAGTGGAGGCAATGAAGGATGTTGTACAGGTGACTAAAGATATGTTGAATTTAAAGAACGCAGAATGCGATCATATGCAAGTCCGTTTGGAGAAATCTCAACAATGGATTAAAGCGGAGAAGGATAAATGTGCCATAACCGAGAAGAAACTAATAATATCTAAAGGAGTTTATGACAAACTTCGAGCTGAATATGACATACAGTCGAAAATATTTAAGGTACACGCAATGATATTTGATAATTCTTTTAATTAAAATTTTTTTTATAGGATTTAAAGGAAGTATATGAACAAAAAATTAAGATGCTCGGCATTGCACTTGAGGAAGCTAAAAAGAAATAGTACGTTTAAAATGAAATAAAATACAGTCTGGTTGTAATGTACCAAGTATATGTGAATGTATAATAATATTAATGTATAAATTACTTCCCTATAATATAGTAAAATATATAGATCGATTGGCATATGAAAAGCTCGTTTTTAAAAGCATTTCATTTATTTTTATTTGCAGGCGGATTCATTCATTACAAGCAAATTTCCGCTAATAAACTTTCAATATTCCATGATATATGTGAATTTTTTTGTCGAACTATTAAGGAAAACTTTGTTTTTATGCACTTTGTTGTTGTTGCATTTGTTTCGAGAGTGCGAGTTGTTTCATCTCCATCACACCTGCAACAGCATTTAGAAATCTACTTTTCTGTATTTGGATCTTTTCAATTTTCTCTATTTGTTCTTGTAAATAATCCACCCGTCTCATGAAATAGTCCTTAGAGCTTTCCAAATTCTTTAAAGGTAAACTAAATTATACGATCAATATATTTTAAAGATGAATCTACAAACCTTTTCCACATAATAACCTGTGCCTACATCAATTACAAAGTTATCGAGATCTTTAATGCGTCCAGGTACATACATGCTACTTGTAAGCGGCACTAATACTTGACGGTTCTGCCACTCAGGTTGGAATGATTCCAGCGCTTCCTTCGAGCTAGCATACTTCGCTTTACAATTGTAAAGAGTTTGTAATGAAGCTTGAATGCTGTTTATTTCCTACAAAAAATTTTTTTTTTCAAAAATTGTATATGAGATATTGCCATTGCCGTGGACGCACCTTTTCCATTTCCTGTCTGATTTGCATTAATTGTTCCAAACTAAGCTTTGCTAAGTCAATTTGTTCTGTTTTTACATCGCTACTACTCGCCGACATTTTAAATTTGGTTTTATATTACAAATAAGTGTTTTAAAAGCGAATATCTTAACAAATGTTTCTTTAAATCGCGTGCGAAATAGAACTTCACATACCTCTATAGATAAATATAATTCGATGAGTTGCAGTTCGAATTGTCGAAATGTCGATTGCGGAGTTTCGAATGCTAAGGGTTTCCAATTTTCAATAATAAAAACACTTTTCCCTTTTTTCAGATAACTCAAATTCTTTGTAAACCGCACCTTTTAGAAAAGTGAATTTATTTACTTTTGGTAAAGTCGTCGCTAACGTCAAACAGCGATATAGATTCAGAGCAATTATTTTTAAATAAAAGCTCATTTTACATTAAATAAAATTTGGGCTACCCTAACAGTTTCCAGAAATTGAACAGCTGTTTTATGTTGTGTAATTTGTCATTCCACACAAAACTTAGCCGTCTTCCATGTGTTAAATTAAAATTCTTCCCCTCAAGCAATTTGGGAAAATATTAAGGGTTTGCCGTAAGTTGCGTTTGTTATGGCCTGCTCCCGTTGCTATCTGCGCCTTCTATCAGTCAACAACGTAGTTAAAAGAACCATAAGCATGTCAGCAATGAGGCGTGCCGAGGAGGCTTTGGATAATATGAAAGAGAAAAACCCATATTTCGATAAATATGCAGAGAAAATTGCAAGGCTCCAACAAACCTCTCCGGAAGAGTTTTTAGAACGTGTGGACAAAGTTGTAAATCCTATTAAGGATGGAAAGAGTCAAACGAGGTAAATCTTTATTCATGTAATTTATTAATTATTAAATAGCACGAAAGATGTATTAATGACTTTTACTTAAAGAACTTATTCCGAACTTCTTAATCCCAAACAATCACTGAAGGATGAGGAAACCAATGAGATACCTTACAAGAAACTTACAGATATCATGAAACTTGAACTTGTCGCAGACAAGACAGCTGAAGAAATCTCAAGTATATGGTATGAATACCACAAAACTAAAGATGTGTTGACGGCAACATTAACTGTGAATCAATTTGAAACACTTATGGAACGTGCTAAACAATTTCCCATATTTTTGTTGCCACTTCCGCGAAGCGAGGGTTTCGAGTTTATCATGTTGCAGTTTGCTGCAAATGCGGTGCATTTCACGCCGCTACTTGCCTACCAGGTTGGTGTTGCTTCTTTGTTAGTTAATTGCTCGCGTATCTAAATTAATTTATATATAATTCATAGGTGCATGCCGAAAACGCGCCAGAGTGTCTAACTATTGTGCATTATACTGAAATGAAAGATAAAGATGTTGTATTGATGCGTGGCGAATATGATAGCAAAGTCTTGTCGGCACAGGAAGCACAATGCCTGGCTAATGAATTACAAATGTTTTATTTCAAGGGCGGCGAAAGCAGACTAAAGCTACTGGAGAAGTTCAACAAAAAGCCAGATGAGTTTAAACATATGGATTTAATTAAAGAGGTTGAAAATATACAGTTAGTTTAAAGTATTCTTAAAAACCGTTTCTCAAGCTTTGCTTTTGTGAAATCTAATAAATGGACATTAATCCTATGATCAAATCGTGTGTTACTATCGAATATTTTACTATTATGTTTTTATATAGGACAATTGTAACTGCTAAAAAATATTCTTCTGCAGCCTTTTGTAATAAGTTTACCATTGAGATTTAACCTTACTCAACTAAAATGGTGAATAATCTTATTTAGATTTTTTTTTTTGCAAAAACATTTTAAAAGATTTAGTTGCTATATATGTATACTTATGAACATATTACATACATAAATGTAGGTATAAAATGTAACAAGTTGTATTGTTACTTGTGACACACATAAAATGTACACACATTTTAAAAAATATTACTATTTTTGATATTTTAAAATAATATTGTCCCAATTTTTGAAAATTTGTATTTCTCTGTTATTGTGGATTACTGTGCTTCAATTTGATTTGCTAATAAATTTTTGAATTGTTAATTTTGAAATGTTTAATTTTTAGTCATTAGCTGCAAATTCATATGTCTGCACATGCATTACCGTACGGCACGCACTTTGATGATGTTATGGTTATCATAGGTAAATCGCTTGTTTGTTTTTGTTTACATAAAATGTATACGGACTTATGTACGGGAATTTTACACAGGCTTCGGAAAGGGGCATTTACGACTTTTGTGCACTTGTGGGCTGCTGCTCATGTTCACAATTACCGAAACAATGGGCATGGCCATTATAGCACCAAAGAGCGCGTGCGAATTCGCTAGTTCGGAACAAGCAAAAGCGGCTATACAGGCGGCAGCATATATCGGTAACATATATAAAAACAAATATTCGTGTTCGTAGATATGTATATGTAGTTTATGTATCTATGTTCCGATAGGCATGATTCTCTCATCCTACATGTGGGGTTATTTCTGCGACAAAATCGGAAGGCGAACGGTGCTTTTGCGCAGTACGGCAATGGCCATCGTTTGCTCGTTTTCATCCATGTTAATCACAAATTTTTGGATTTTTCTCACTCTCCGCTTTATGACTGGCATTTGGTAATTAAACTAAATTGATAATATAGCTCCGCTTTCTTAATATTGGTTCGATCATGTAAATACTATAAAGTGTGGCTGGCCCTGGTTTCGCGGCACTTACATATCTCGGGGAATTTTGTACACCGAAAAATCGCGCTTCTATCATTAACTATATGTGCATGTTTAACGGCATCGCTATGGTCTATTGTCCAGGTATTTAAAAATCTTTAAATTTACAGTTATTGTTAACTATTTTCTAAAATGGAATTTTAATAACTGTAGGACTTTCCCAGCTAATGGTGAATTGGAAACTGTATATACCCATAATCGGTAATTTGATAATACGCCCTTGGCGCATACTTGGATTGCTATTCTCAGTTCCTGGATGGATTAGTTTCTTATTACTATTGCGACTACCAGAAAGTCCGAAATTTCTGCTGTTGGTAAATAAAAACGAAGAATGCTCAGAAGTGTTAAATTGGCTGTGTCTTCTTAACAATGGAAAGACTTTAGAGGACTTTGGAATTACTAATATGAGAGCATTATTAAATTCTGGAGTGACCCCAGCACCAAAGTACATATATCACATACCTCTTATTCTTGCCTTTAAATCGTTACTTCTGTTCATGCAATTTTTTGGCATTTGTTTAAGTGTGTTTCGAGCAATGGCCCAGGAGGTTGTACCTTTATTCCGACATCCTTATATAAAAAGATTCTTGATCAGCTGCGTTGTTATGTTCGGTTTGTTGCTTGTGTAAGTGTAAGAGTCAGCGAAAAGTATACGTATATATATGTGCATGTTTGTGGTGATTTTCTGTATTAAAAATTTCGTTTAGTGCCAATGGGGTTGCAATCTGGTTCACAGACATAAGGAATCATACTCTCACATTGGAACAAGAGAATAAAAATAAGAGCCACGAAATGGAATTTTCAATTTGTGAGGCGATACGCCATAATAAGAAATTGGCCAAGGAGACAATGGTTTGATTTTGGTCTTTTGCTATATACAAGTATTTATTGAACTTTACATATAACATGCACTTAATTATAGACCGAGCGAGGCAACAGGAACATATAAGCGCTAAAAAATCATATGCAAAAAATAGAAGTATTCAATGATCGACAACAGATCGACTATAGTTTCATTCATTTCAAAATGTTCCTTCGATAAATTATTTTCAGTTACTTTAAATTGGATTTTATTGGTTTAGAAAATTTTTTAAGTAAACGCAGAGAATATTTTATATCGTACCGATTTCATATATCCAGTTTTCAGACCATATAGTTATAAGTGTTTCGAAAATGCTAAATTGTTTTATCCCTATTGCTTCTAGGTATGTAGCGACGAAATTGTGTCTTTTTGGGACTCTATTTTTTTGGGTATTTCATATCTAATTGAATATCTTTCCTTTGGTCTAATGTTGTTGGTCGTTTCGAGAAAGCCCATATTTTGCATATCACTGACAATATCTGGAATCTGCGGCATTTGCCTCCCATTTGTGACCAGTTCGCCTTTAATACCTCTTACCTTTATCCTCTATCTTTCGATACCGGCAGTAATGACTAATTTAATGAACAGCGCGGTACTGGAATTCATACCTACTTACGTAAGGTGACTCATGATTTTATTTGCGTATCATTTTTTTTAGGTTAATTAATAATTTGAAACATTTTTATGTAGAGGTAAAGCGGTTTGCATTTGCTTGATATTTGGTCGCTTTGGCGCCGTTTTTGGTACAACAATTATGGCTCAATTGATTGAGAGTTTTTGTTTCGAAGCCTTCATGCTGTTCTCGTGTTTTCCATTCGGTGAACATCGTTGTTATATGAATTCTAATTTTTTTGATTAATCGAATTTCTTGTTACTTTCAGTTTGTGCGATATGCGGATACTTTTTGCCTTTGGATGAACATTTCTTTTAAAACTATATGAACATAAATAGTTGACAATGCTGTATTGCAAGCAAAATAAATATTATTCAAATGGGAATTGAAACTTTTGACTCAAACTAACAATTGTCACCGAAGACCTGTTAAATTTGTATGTGTAGTTATGGTATTTAAGTAGTCAAGCTTGGTTTTCTTGATTGCAGTTCAAATTTTGTGTTACTCATACGCCCCTCATAACCCTACCCATTTGATGCTGAATAAAACTGAGTATTATAACTATTTATTGTGAATTTGTTTTTATTTTACAATCTCGAAAATCTTAATTAAAAATAATTTTCAAATTCCAGATTGACAAAAAAAAAAATGTGAATCGCAAAATTATAATTAAAAATAAAAAAATGCTTGTGCACTAAAATTTTTTCACGCTTGCGTACTTCCTGTTCGACGATTTTAAGCTACGGCTCCCACAAAGCCAACATATTCGATACCTGATGCAGTAGATTTATATTTTTTCAAATTAAAATATAAAAATCCAATTTTTAATACTAAATATTGTTTAAACCAAATTTTAAATAAGTGAACTTAATAAAAATTAGCATACCCGTAGATAATCATGGAAAAATGTAAACATTATAATGGTAAATAATTTCGTTGCTGCTTATAGAAATAACTATAAAAAACAATAATAAATGTAATAACTTTTATTGAGATAAGTACTCTTAATGTCTTATGTAAATATTATGCATCCTCATTTTAAAGAGATAAAATCCTAAGCAAATAATGATGACGAATATTCTTGTTGTGAACGAAATGCATAATATTTTGCAAATATTGTGCATCGCGAACTCAAAATGTCAGTAAATTATTTTTTGTGTAAATAGAGCAACACATTGCCCACAAACAAAAGCAACAACTGTTGGTACGCGCAGTTGGACTTGAAATACTTTCGTAATTTTCTAGCGTAGAGATTCTACTACCAATGAACCATATAATTACTGGCCTCATTCATTCTATATTGGTATTAATCATGTTATACATACATACATTTGATTCACTAATGATAGGATATTCAGTGTGTCTTCACTTTTGGAGAGCACTGTAGCATATACACTTAATTTGGCTGATACTGTTAAGACATTATAAATATTTGGTTCTGCAAAAGTCAACAAAGTGTCTTAATTGCAAAAGATATATACTTTTATCGATCAAATCTCTATTGTACGTTTACGAACATCTCGAAGAGTTTATGTCTGACATACAAACACACGAATGTACCTAGAGGCTTGTTCAGTTGTCGGAAATTTTTGATAAGAACTGAATGTGTGCGTTTCGTAAAGTGAATAGGCGGCATGAACAGGTGCTAAGTCAATACGCAGCTGGCAGTTCAGTTATAAATTGGCAGTCGGTGACTGCGGCAACGATAACGGTAACTACAATTCAAGTGACATTTCGTTTAGTTAAAATCTAATAAGTGCGTGAATTGCTTGAAATTAAGTTATACATTAATTAATTATTATATTAAGAATAAGTGAAAAAGAAGTGCCGTGATAGAAATGTCGCCACAGAACAGTTTAAGAGATACAAAATTACCCATTGAATCGGATTCCCATGAAAACTCTTCGCCTAATGTTGAAAGTATCGAAAACAACCCAAGTGCGCGAAATGCCAAGAAAAGTGGTGCGCTTAAAGCTTCGCAGGACACACAACTCCTGCAGCATGACTACGACACTGTGCTTGATATGATAGGTGCCAAGTTGAGCCGCGTAGTAATAGTGGCTTTTATTTTCAATATTTTTTCCTTTTATCTTCCCACAAGGATATGGCCGCACGCAATGGGTACTGCTGATCACCTGCGGCTTGCTCTTGATGATGGTCATTAACGAGACAATGGGCATGAGTATCATAACGATGGCCTCTCAGTGCGATTTCACTACGACATCGGTCGATAAGGCCATCATGAGCGCCGCTTCATTTGTTGGTATGTAGGTATATACATAATTCATCGGCATAAACTTTTGTGATTCCAAAAGCAAGCATTTTATAACATGTAAGTTCATAGGGGGGTTCAGCGTGGGTTATTCAACGGAAAAAATTTTCCTCGTGGGGATTAAGATATCCAAGCAGCGATCTTTAGGCAAGCATTTCCGAAACGCTCTTGACTTTTTGTTTTTCTTTTTCCACTAATACTTCCTCTGATATACATCTTTTTAGCAATCTTGTATTATTACCGAATTACTATTCCACAATTATTGGTGTCAATATGCTATAGTGACACGATAACGGCGGTTTCGACAAATGATCAGCTTCTTCGGAAGAAATTAGGGACTTTTTCGCGTATACAGACAGGCGGACATGGATAAATCGACTCAGCTCGTCACGCTGATCAATTGTTTTTTATATATGCTTATATAAATTACGTTTTACGTTTTCACCGGCGTAAAACCCTGAACTAGTGAAAAGATTTTAGTAAAATGTAGCACACTGGGTCCAATTTGATCCAACTTAAAAGGTAGAATGGTTTATATCTCAAGTATGTTAAAAATAAAACAATCCATTCAATAAAAAATATATTTCTTAATAAAAGCATGTGTTCAAAACTCAAAAGGAAAAAATTATATATTATACTTATAGTAAAATGTCAAAGGGAAATGTCACTATTTTTTTCATTGACAAATATTTGAAACTTTCATCACTTTCAAAGTTAAACCTAAAGTACAATCCCTTGGATTTTTATACTGGCAATCCGTTTTCGCTTTTGTTCGTATATAACATTATAAGTGTATAATAGTTTTTCTATATTGAATAGTTTATTATAATTTATTTATTGCACACCATATTCACTGCAATGCTTGGCAGGATCAACAAGTATTTATATGTATGTATATGTACCCATATATATTTTTCCTTCTAGGTGTTACAAACGTCGTAACAAACATAAAATACCCTGTACAGCGTATAATAAATGTTAAGCCTTCGTATTTTTATAAAAATATTATTTCATCTCCTTAGACCTCATGTCAGATATGAATAAGTAGGAAGCTCAATTTTACAAGGTTCAATAATGAGCTTGCGTCATAGAGCTACTTGAAATCTTTCGGTGCCAAAAATAAAGCTATTTCAACATTATGATTTTATTTTGGGAAATACGATAAAATCGTCATATTCCCACATGGAGTTGTCACGCTGATAATATTTGTTTAATACCCTAAGTGCGTATGTACTGTTCCATAAGTAGAAGAGTATGTGTGCAATCGACATATCTACACAGTAATTATCAAGTGGCATGCATAATTCTTTTGAAGTGGACACACACACGTATACACAGGTTGAGAAACTTGCTTTGAGTTTTCAGAAATTGTTTTAAGAAAAAGAAATACCCCAAATTTTGGCAATATTCTTTTCCTTACATTTTCAAATCATATGGCGTGCGTAGTACAGAGAATTCATGCAGATACAGTTTGTTAAGGAATATTACAAGTAAAACGGTAATGCTGGCATACCCGAAGAGCCACTCGTATTTTGATGAATTTATGTAAATAGCGGTGAATTTGATCTTTCATCTTCTGTATTTCACCTATCGGTTTGAATCTTAATTAAACATTTTCTGTACATCTTTTCAATTGGAACGTAACAGTTGTACATATGTTACATATGTACCTATTTTGACGTGTTATGTTTACAAAGTGTTTTTCGTCAAATGCAGGAAGCGGGCACGTCATTCGTGGAACATTGAATGTGTGCATTGCAAACAAATACAACAAACACATAAAATAATGATCAAAATTTCAGCACTACACCAACAGTTTGACATATGCATAAACATACATATTGTACTATATACAAAAATATTTACTTATGTACATATGTGTGTATGTAAGCCTTTGGTAACACTCTAACACTCTTATTCAATTTCTCATCTGCAAATAATTGAGAATTGGAATTATCGGCCTATAGCGGATTGCGACCTAAATTCAATGTGTCATAATTGTTGATTTAGAAAATAGTCTTAAGAGCTTTTTTTTTAAGTGTTCAATTAGAGAAATTAAATAGTTATATCACAATAAGTGCTGATAAAACTAGTCAGGTATGTATGAACAAAAAAATAATAATAATGCTAATATATACTAATTAAGTGTTATGTTGTCTGCGATAAACTCCTAAACTATTGAACCGATTAAAATTTGGTACACTGTCTGCAGATCCAATTAAATAGATAGGTTATCTCAATATCGAGATTTTGGGTTGTAAATTGTTTGTTTATTATTTAACAAAAAGGTTAATTATCTGTAATGTATGACGGTACAAAAAATACGGTCACAATAGAAAGTCGCACAAATTTTAAAATGTAAACCTCAAGTTCAAATCGTAATCCCTTGGATGCTTATACCGGCAATAATGTTTTAATCTTTATTTACAGCATTGATTAGGTTCTTATAATAATATTTAATGTACATAACATTTGTATACCTTAGCCACAGCAATGCGTGGCCGGATCTTTTAGAATAATTATATATCTATTCTGCTGATCTGATAAAATTTTACTTAATGAAAAAAAAAAACATTTTCACGTATTTTAATACGAATTAAAGATTCCTTCAAAAAAGTTTTTTTGATCCAATACAAACATTTCAATGCTTAATTTAATTTTCTATACACATGTTATAAGCCTAGATTGGTATGGCCCTCGGTGTTCAATTTCTGCCCACAAATCCGGTCGTTTAGCGTGGTTTTTTCGGTTTCGACTCATTGGCAAAAGCCAAAGAGATTAATACCCGAATATAATCTTCCAACTTTCCGGTGCCATTTTTGCGGTGCGATTTGTCTATTGTTAAAAAACACTGATCTTGATTTGTTTATACGTGACCAGCTTTATCAGCACTTATTAGGATATATTTAATTTCACTTATAAACCACTAAAAAAATCGCTTAAGACTATTTTCTAAATCAACAATGATGATATATTGAATTAAGCTTGCAATTCGCCACCTGCTGGTAATTCCAAATCTCAATTAATCGAAGTTGAGAGTTTGAGTAAGAGTGATAGAGTGTTATCAAAGGCTTATGAAAGTTTTACATATATACATATGTACATAAGTAAATATTTTTATACTCTTGCAATATGTTGGTACAGAGTATAGCAATTTTGAAAAATTGAATAAAAAGTTTGAAAAAGAAAATAAAGTCGTATCAACTGGAAGAAACAAGTTTGGTAATCATAAAGATCCAAAGGAATTCTGGCAAGCGGTTAAAATATTTAGATCCACACAGCTACAACAAAATAGCATTTCAATAGACATCTGGGAATCGTTCTACAATAACATGTACAAAACAGGTAATTCCAAACACACGCAATGTACTGATGCAAGACATCCATACCTAGACCGAGAAATATCACTGGCAGAAATCGAAACAGCCATAGCATAAGCAAAGCTGAATAAAGCTCCAGGAATCTTCCATCGAATTGGGTTCTGTACTTGGTTGCACTCTTAAACAAAGTGTGGGAAAAAGAAAAAGTTCCCTCGGCTTGGCCAAAAGCTTCTATAACAATGCTGTATAAAAAAGGTACAGGGGACAATCCGAAAAATTACAGGGCACTCATTAACAATATCAACAAAATCTTGACTAGCATTATGCATAAACGATTTATAACTTGGCTGGAACGATGTCAGTTACTTCCAGAGGAACAAGCAGGCTTCCGGAGTGGACGTAGTACAACCGAACATATCTTCACCTTGCTGTCAACGATCCAGATCAAGAAAAATCTACCTGGAAACGCGATATACGTTATCTCCATTGATCTTAAACGTGCTTCTGACACAGTACCTTACAAGAAAATGTGGGACAAATTTTTTCTACTGGGAGTTTTGCAGTGATATAAGTTCAGTCCAGTAGCATTCATCGCAGTCCATCCATCCAACGCAGTCAACAATGCCAGACTAGCTCGCGATGCAACTAAATCTGTGCTATACAAAGCGAAAGTAGACTCCTGGTTTGCTAAAGCCAGGCTTTTTGATAGCTGGGTTCCCTCCACCCTGCTATACAGTGTTCAAACCAGGGGTCCTGGAAATTTCATTAAATTGATAAAGTACATCAGATGATATGAAGCAAATCTTCAACCTGCCTAAGAATATGCCTGGATACATCATTAGAATTGGGACTAACATGACTATCTACTCGTGCACTAAGCCTAATATGGACTTTGATAATTAAGGTGCTAAATATGAGAGAATCCTTCTGGCCTAAAATATGTATAAATAAATTAATATCAGTAACCCTGAACCAGGGAAATTGGATTGCTACTCTTACCAAGAGTTTTGCAGATCAAGGACTCGGGGACATGTTCAAGGACCTGAACCCCAAATCTTGGGAGAAAAATAAAGACGTATTCTTAGCCAACTATGAAAAATCTCTAAGGGAAGCTGGCTACACCCAATACCTCAGATCGACCTCACTACAAGTCCAATCTATCAGATCTCTCAACTTATCTACTCTAACCAGACTTATTTTACAACTCAAACTGGCGAATAAATATTATTGCTTCAAAACGTGCAATGGCATAAGCTATAAACTCAATACTAATAGTCCATGTGAAGCGTGTGGGCAACAACGCACAGAAACAATACTACACTTATTAATTGAGTGCCAGAGATATGATCAAACAAGAATAAAGTACTTTCAGGATCTAATGACAGAGTTCAACCTATTCTTATCTTTGCGATGCTGAATATCCAAAATAAATCTAATCTAATGAGAATCTACAACTACGTGAAGGACGCCCTCGCACTGAGAAATATGAATTAATACGGATTCGCTCACCAGACTAAAATTAGAGAAATAATCTATCATTCGTGTCGTTAAGTTAAATTATATTAAGTTAAATTATATTAAACTAAAGTTAAAAAAAAAAAAAAAATAATAATAATAATACTGTACATAGAGTGGTATGAAACTGAGTGTATATAGAGACAAATTTGATGCTGTAAATTCTAAATATTTTATAATTTAGTATGGTATATGCATTTTATTGAACAGATAATTTATATATTTACCTAACCTTTTACTATAAGGGAGTAATGTACTCTTATAAAGCAGTAAACAATATCATATCACAGTTTTGTTCACCTAACGGCTGTTTGTATTACCTAAAAATAATCGAGTTATGTTAGTTATAAGGTTATATATATAATATATAAATGATCAGGATGATGAGACTAGTGACTGTCCGTCCGTTCAAGGTATAACTTACTTACTTAGTTATATACAAAAGCGTAATTTGGTATAATGAATCGCAATAGGGAGGGGCACCTGTAGTTTGAAAACTTAAAAGTAGGCATGGCCCCGCCAGTAACAGTTTAAATGTACATATATATTTCCGAAACTATTCAAGCTATATCACCCAATTTACACGGGACATATCCTTTCAACACTTCTTGCGACAGCATGAAAATAGATAACATCGTTTGATAACCACGCCCACACGCCATATAACGGTTTTGTTAAAAACTACTAAAACTGCGATGAATCAATAACGATATACGTCAGATACATTAAATTTTACATACGAGTTGACACACAAGGGCTTTATAGGAGTAGGAGTGCCAAAATTGGACAAATCACTTCCTAGTATACAAATCAAACACTAATTAATATATCAGGATACAAATTTGCACGAATATTTCCTTTAAGGTATGCCAGCTTTGATCAAAAAATTTTCAAAATCGGATCATAACTATTCCAGCCGAAGGCTACCGGAAATATCGGTCTATCTGTGAGATATATAATTAAAACTCGGTGAAAATGTTTTTTTGATAATAATATACCCTTGTGTCATAAATAGGTTGAATCGGCCCAATATTTCCCTTAGCCCTCATATACCTAATATAAAGATTTTCGAACTTCTAGTTGACTTAATGCCCCAATTCGGGCAAAAACTTGCCTTAGCCCCCATATAACTGATATTCACGATTATACACGTCCGGCTGACTCTACTCCATACATATGTTTATATTTATAAATTTGCTTAAAAATAAGTTCTCACCCTGACCTTCAAAATAAGTTAATATGATACCAAATTTTATTGTAATCCATTCAGCATTTCGTCGAACAATGAAATTAAACGTTGTCGCTGCATTTCTTAATATAAAGTATTGCCAACTCCTGAAGGTATTTCCTCGGCTTTGATTCTTGCAAGTTGAAAGAGTATGAAATATTTGGTAACACCCAAACTTAGCCCTTTCTAACTTGCTGTATATACATATGTATGTATATTAGAGCGGTTCGATTTTTTTCTAACAAATCGCGAATTCGGAAAATCTTCTACGGATCATTCTGAACATCTTTGCTTGAGAGAACATGGGTCTAAAACCGGTTTCGAGCCAGAGATTTTTTAGGAAGAATTAAATTTTTCTGAACTTCGGCTCCCTGTAAATCAACCCATTCTAATATACATATATCTCACGGTTGGGGTAGTGCTGGAATTTAAGTCATTATAGTATCAGTTGTTACAAACTTCGTGGCAAACTTATTATACCCTGATCAGGGTATAATAATTTGTATCTAGTCCGTAAAAGATTGAAATCGATGAATTTTCGTTTGTAGACTTTCGGGTATAAAAGAGTAGAATTAGTCTCTATTAGAACATGCTCGAACAGTGGAGTACAGTTCGTTCCATATAAAATATTCTAAAGTGACTTTAATCACATATTCCTTTGCAACTGACTCTGCGAACGGACTTTGCGGACTCATTCTGGACTTGTCGAGATACATAAAACAATGCTGCCACTAATGGAATTTGAGACTTTTGGTACCAAGTTAGGGTTAACAATTTTAAATCGTATGAAGAATTACCGCTAATTTGGAAAGTTTTCTATAACTAATCTTAAATATAATTATTTGTATTCGTACATATATTTCAAATAAGTCTGTCTCTCCTCAGGAATAGCGCTGTTTTCATACGTTTGGGGCTATCTAAGTGATACCATAGGACGTCGGCAAATATTGCTCTATGCAACTTATGGCGGATGTTTGTGCTCGATGATATCTATGTTCATGCCCAGCTTTTGGCTTTTCGTATTCATGCGCTTCGTAGTGGGCTGTTTGTAAGTAATTAATATAAAATAAATTAAACGCATATATAATTTTGCACATTTTGAATACAAGTTATTAATTTAATTTCAAAGCATTGCCGGTCCTTCCTCCACGACATACGCATTGTTGGGTGAATTTCATGCGCGACGGCACAATGCCCTAGCAATGAACTATGCTAGTTTTTTTGTAGGCGTAGGGATGACATATGTGCCTGGTAGGTCCAAAGCGTTTTTATATTTAATGTGAATGTTTATATAAAATATATAATATTTTCTATAAACAGCAATCGCTTGGTTTGTGCTGTCCATGGATTGGTCAATTCAGTTGAGCGATAGCTTTGCGTTTCGTCCGTGGCGGCTTATGATGATCTTCAATCTGTTGCCGGGTCTGATAGCTGCCTTGATATTATTAGTGATACCAGAAAGCCCTAAGCTACTTTTATCTTTGCACAAAGACAAAGAAGCTTTAGCAGCAGCAAATTGGATTTGTGAATGCAATACTGGCAAAAGTTTGGAGCAGTTAGGGGTTAAGAAACTAAAGCCCGAAATAACGATGACAGTCGATAAGGTGCATATTACGAGCAAGTCGTGGTAAGATCAAGTGCCTACCAAAGCGCAAAATAATTATATACATATATTATTAAATTGCTATATATCAGCTTTCAGACGGTTAAGCATATTTGGCAGGAGACTCGGCCCTTAGTACATCGCCCATACGCTCTAAATTTTTTCATTAGTTGTGTCGTTATGTGTGGCCTATTTTTCAGGTAATTATATAATTTAGCGTATAAGTTGCAAAGTTCGCTATTCTCACAAATACAGTAGCCAAGTTCGAATCCAGTGATAAACTTACTTTTTATTTATTTTCTAGCTCTAGCGGTATGGGTCTGTGGTTTCCAGAAATTCAAAATAGACTCAGCATGACTACAGCTGAAAATCATGAAACAATTTGTCAAATTATAGGTGACACATTTCAAAATAGAAATGATCTTATAAATACTACGAAGGTAAATATATATCAAACTCAAAAATTTAAGTTAGATTCCTAAAATGTTTATGAGCTTTTTAGAATGTGTATAATTTTAAACTCGACTTATCAGTTTTCAATTAATGAATATGACTAATACTAAGTCCTGACTCTTTTCAGGTATGCGTCGATGAGATCAGCGATAAAAGCTACATAGACTCGATTTCTATGGGTATGTGTTTCGTGGTGGGCTATATTCTGATAGGCGGGGTCATAAAAATATTCGGGCGCAAAGCGACAATCATTGGATCTTTGTTCGTCAGCACGGTATGCTGTGTCGCGCTGTTTTGGCTGCTCAATCCGATTACGATCGTCGTATGCTTTATTGTGTTTCTCACAATGCCAGGCCTGTGTATATCTATGCTGGGCAGTGGTGTGGTGGAACTCGTGCCCACTCATTTGCGGTAAGTGTAGCTTCTGTTACCTGTTAGAGTGTTAAAAGTGTATATAAGATAAATTAATAATAAATAATTCTATTTACAGCGGTAAAGCGGTTTGTATTTGCTTATTGCTCGGCCGTACGGGCAGCGTTTTCGGTAGCAACCTCATCGGCGTGTTGTTGGAATCCAATTGCCATTTGACTTTTGGCCTTTTCACTGGCTGCGTTTTGAGTAAGTACATTTTTTCTTATAAGACATTAACCTCGAATAATCATAAGCTGGTAAAATAGACGATGACTTTTAACTGTCACTTGTAACTGTTCACACATAATTGTAAATAATATTGCTTTCATTTATATTTCCAGTTTGCATGCTGCTTACAATGACCCTGCCCATTTGAGCGCGCTAAACAGTTTAAGCGATTGCCAATTAAAACCAGTGATGTGGGCGTACCTGAATACCTGTACCTCTGATGCATTCTGATCTAATAGTTTTAGGAAATTTGTTACCTAGTCGCTCCATAATTTAATGTCATTTTGTTATATGCATTGCTTAGTTGTAAGTTGTTGTAACAACATCTAATCGATAACTTGTTGAATTTATTTTGCACAACTGCTTTTATATAAATATTTTCAACTCAACAAGCTTTTATTGTGTGCCTTGTAGGAAAATGTTGCCTAAAGCTGTGTTTCCAAGATTTTTTACAATAACTAAATTAGAATTACAGGTTTTCATTTAAAACTGCATGCCAGTAGGTATGTACTACATACATACATATATTTTCATCAATTTTATGTACAAATGTACTATATTTACATAAGTAATCATTGTTGTAGTTGAATGAGTTAGGTTTTGATGGTAAAATAAAATTTTATTGAAATTAAAGTTAAAGTTGTATTACTCTGGGGAACTAGGCAGTTTGCTTTTGTTTTTTTGGAGGTGTAATATTTCGGTAAAATACTTGAAAAACCGAGTATTAAAATTATAAAAAGTTTATTAATTGTTAAGTAGCTTTAGGGGTAATTTTCACTCGTGGATTTCAAAAAATCGATTGTTTTGTTTAAATGTACATATATTTGAAAATAATCTTCGGAAATTTGAAGTTGATCCAAACTTTAAATGCGCCTTTAGCAAAACGTGCTTTTAACAGTAGGTGAGAAGAATTTCTGCAGAACCGCACGACATGAAATTTTCGCACGATCTTTTTATATATATTTGTCAAATAATGATCGAAGTAATAACATTTTTCATATTAATCTCAATTCTTCAATTGAAGTGCAATTTTTTTCACAAAAACAGACTTCATTCGGTAAGCCGCCATTTCGTCACAAATCAAAATTTGTACTAGTAATTCGATCATTACCTGTACTCATCTATTGTACTAATACCTTTTTTGTCTTTGGTTTTGAGATAACTTTAAGCAGGAAAATCTTCCTTACGCCAGACATCTTTTTCCGGAGGTCTGCTGGAGATCGGCTATAGCACCGATAATTAAAGTACATTAAACTCTTTAAATGTGCATTATTTTTGTATATTTAATAAATAAAATCTCTTTTCAGAAAAAGTCAACGAAAAATCGTTTTTTCTGGTTATTCGTTCAAAAAATTAAAATTTTACAAACATTTTTCAAAACATTAGACTCGAAGTTTTCGTTAATTTCATATCGAACACCTCGTTAATCTCAGATAGAGGTAAGCAGAAAATATTTCGATTTTTCACAACTAGTGAAGTTTTTGTAAATTACGAAAATAAAGTCATTGCTCATCTCTCTTATTTCTTCTCCGAAAGCTTTTACCGACTTTCACACATTAAATTTGATTCGCTAAACTTGCTATGAGTCAATTGAAGTCTTAAAAACTGAGAATATAATAATAATAACAGTAAAAGAAAATTTATGCAAAATTGATTTAATAATAAACTGGATTTCAACTATTAACATAAAATATGTAAATGGTTTTAATGAACCAAAAATAAAGTTATGTTTCTATAAAAAGGAAAAATACACTTGCCGATCTTTTTTCCCAAACAAACACTCATATAGGTATGAGTAGACCTACATATTCATGTTGAATTTAAGTACGAAATTTATTCAAAAAAATAATCTGTGCACATACATATGTACATTTTTATCTCAGTTTCTTAATTCCTAATCCGTTTAAAATCCACTCAATGTTTTTATTGTTTAATTCTCACTTCTGTTAAAATATTAATTGAGCAGATACATACATACCTACATACACGTAATAAAACATACAGGTAATAAAATCAACAATTAATTTTAATGTATGTTCAACAATTGATGAACTGAAGCGTTTACAAGGTGTTTAAGTTAATTGAAAGTGATTTCGTGGTTAATTTATAAATAATGAATATTAGAATAAGATGAACCAAAAATACAATTATGTAAAGATTAAAGAAAAAAAGTATATCCTTCTATATTCAGATAATTTGAGTGCAATAATAGTGGTTTTGCTGTATAAACCGGAAATGATTGGACAGTGGTTTCTCTATGGCTAAGATTAATATTAACTATATGCGAAAAAAAATGTGTATATATTTTGATCGCGATAGATTTTAGAGGTATATAAAAATATCATACTAAAATTTAAAATCGATATCTTAAATAGTTTTTGAGTTACTGCCATCTGTTAATCTCTTTATCTTTAAACGCGTTTTTGCTCGAAACAGCATTTTTCGAATTTGTTGTAGTGATTTTACGCTGGACAAATGATTCAATCTCTATCAATTTTTTTCGGCATGTTCTGAACATAGTTATCCATACAATAGCCCACGAGTTTTTGATCTGATCAAAATAAAATTTTGATAGGTCAAAAACAACCAAAATTTTTGGTAAAATTACACTTTTTTTAAATCTGCGCCATTTTGTCAAATTTTGATAATATTTTTCGGTAACATAGGGACAATATTTTTCAGTAGAGATTTCTGTTTTTAGATTTCATTCCTGGAGAAGACCGGAATCACTGCAGCAGTGGAGAGCTTTCTTTCTTTAGCGTCGTCGGAGATCGCGTGTAACTCAAAAAATTTTTTAATTTTTTCTTTAAAAATTTTTGCAGTGTGTTCTTAAATTATGTATAAATATATCCATAAAATTATAAATAATTTACAGAAACTAAATTGTACATAGCTCCCACACCCCAAATATCTTGGTAAGAATAGCCATAATTATTATTACAATCATCATTAAACATCATTTAAATTTATCTAAAATCTGTACAATTTGCCACACCGTAGCTGGGATTCTAGTTGAATTAGGAGTCATTGCACGAAGATGTCATAAATGAGCGTCCAACCACCTTCGGAACGCAGCCAAAACGCCAAGCGTAAATAAAAAAGTGTGAAAAAATATACTTATAAAATCGTTACAATTAATTGCACACATATACATAAATGAACAGGTTACATTCCATGCAAATTTTATATAATCTCAACCGTTTAGCAAAACCGGAATATTACTCAGAACAGCTGATGACCAATAAGCATAGTGTTTAACAACATAAGATATTAAACATACAGGTGGTATGTATCTTTGTACGATGTAGTCTGACAGGTCATATGAATAATTGAGCTTTTGTTTACAAACAAACATGCTCACGCTTTCCTCATTCTTAATGCTCCAAAGTGTATTGGAATCTCGCTTCAAAGGCAGCATTATTAGAACGCTGGCGCTTGGTAGCAAGTGACTAGTTCTAAACTCATAACTTAAATAAAAAAGTGTGTTGTAAATAATTAAAAATAAATTCACGAATCCGGCAGTTAAATGCAAATCTGAATAAGCGTGTAAAAATCATTCAGCGAAGGAGTGTTGCTGGCGGCAGCGGTTTTCAGTAGCAATTGAGCTCTGGCCGTGGCCAGACTAGATCGTTTCAATTTCCAAGTAATTTTATCAATTCACGCAAAATGCAATTCTCGGATATCAAGAACCAAGGCCGCCAACCTATCGGAGTAGGCATTTCGGAGGCGGCCAATCGAGCTGGGCTGGCGGGCGTCGGCGCGTTTAACGAATTCGACTATGAATATGTGCTGGCGCGCATTGGTAGGTGTACAGTTTTCATATTTCTGTGCCAAGATTAACTGGCAGAGTGCGAAATTCGCTAGAAATACGAGTTTTCTTTGAAACTTTTGTGTTTTACCATTAAAAACGAATGAAAATTAAAGCAGTTCACAGATTCTAAGAATTAAAAGTTGAAAATTTTATGTGGAACTAAATGGTAAATGTTATCCATGACAAACTCGCTATTAATGTGTTTGAGTAGAGATTTATACATAAAATAATAATAATTAAATAAGTGGGAACTTGGTTTTTGAGATCAAAAGTGTGATTGAGGAACGCAAAAATTACATATACATGTATGTGTATCTTTCTTTAGATTACAACTGGTCAAAGGAAGTACAATATGGTACACCATTAAATAGTGATAACAATTGTGTTTATCAAATAAAATCATAAGTGAAATTAGACAAAATTATAAAAAAAGGAAACGTCAGAGACCTTACAAAGTATATACTTACGTATATAATTGATCAGCGTGACTGGCTGAGTCGATTTAGACATGCCCGTTTGTTCGTTTGTCCGTTTGTATATATGCGAACTAGTCCCTCATGAAAAATTGTTCGGACCACTATAGCATGTAGCTGTCATATAAACTGACCGATAAAAATCAAGATTAATATCTTTTTATACTCCTTTATGCTATAAAAATGCACTTGTGAAGGGTATTATAGCTTCGGTGCAGCCAAAGTTAACGTTTTTTCTTGTTTTTATCTGACCAGTAATTTGAAAATTATGTTAAGTTAAAATATTTCATAACACTCACATCGTTAGGTTTCGGCAAGGCACAATGGTTACTACTGCTCATCTCCGGCCTTTTGACGCTCAGCTCGATGGCCACGCAAACTTCGGTGGGAATCATGGCCATAGCGTCACAGTGCGAGTTCGGCATGAGTCAAGCGGAAAAGGGTATAATGATGGCGGCGTGTGTAACAGGCATTTTTCTATCTACATACTTCTGGGGTTATGTCAGTGATGCTTTTGGACGGCGTTCGGTGCTCTTCTACGGTATTGTTGTCACAAATCTGCTCCAGTTTATCTCTATGTTTATTACAAATATATGGGTCTTCAACGCAGTCAATTTAATCATGGGCATAAGGCATGTATATGCGGCTATTTCATTTATTATGTCTACAATAAATGGCTATAATTTTTATTTACAGCTTAGGTGGCGTCTCCGCTGCCATTTACGCATATCTTAGCGAGTTCAACACTGACAAACATCGCGCTGTAGTCATTAATTATTCCACAATGTTCGTAAGCATCGCTGCAATCTACATGCCTGGTGAGAATTTATTATATTACAATATATTATATAAACATTTAAATTCAAGTAAATATAATTTGTATTTAAATACTTAATGCGTTGTAATTATTTAAGCAGGTTTTCGCACAAAATTAGTTGGGCTTGTTCAATTGATTAATATCACTATTATTAATGTAAATTTGTAAACTACTACAAATTGTAAACTACTATTTAGGGAGGTGGTTTTTACGATAACCGCTCAATATGTCAATGGATTTTTCAATTTTTCATTTACTATGATATTTCTTTCTTTTTACTACAAAATTATATGATATCACTCTTCAATCATAGATTATAACTATAATATATGCTTCCGAATATAACATTACGGTTTTCTAACACACCCGTAGTATATAATGATTATCAATTTGCATTCATTAAATTTTAATTCAAACTTTCGGTTATATAGAATACGCAACATCACCTTTTATTTGTCATTTACTTTAAAACATTAATTTCAGCGACCTGTTGGCTTGTTCTTTCCGCCGATTGGTCACTTCACATAAGTGATAGTTTCATATTTCGGCCATGGCGTTTGATCATCCTGCTGAATCTCTTACCAGGCTTAATTGGAGCACTTATGCTGTATCCTTTCCCGGAGAGTCCAAAGTTACTGTTGGCGCAGGATAAGGAGTACGAGGCCATAGCTGCATTGGAATGGATATGTAAACTTAATCGGGGTCGTTCTATAGCAAGTGTTTTTGGCAATGATGCCGATTTCAAATTAAAACCTGAACAGATCGGTGATGATAATTTGCGAAGTGCTGGTGGTATTTGCGGGATCCTTGTGAATATTTGGAGAGCAACAGTGCCACTCTTTCACAAACCGCATTGTGTGAATTTCATATTGAGCATTGTTTCGGTGTTCGGTATGTTTCTCACATCGGCTGGCATGCAAATTTGGTATCCAGAAATTGTGAATCGCTCGTCGGGTGATAATGCCGGCAACAGTTCGTTGGTGTGTGAGATTCTAGAAGCTTCGTTCGAAAAACAACGCCTAAATGTAATCTCCGTCGATATGGAGGTAAGTATGTTAAATATCTTTGTTTCTTAGATTAGTTCTGAAATATTTTCTTTTTGAAGTAACCTAAAGCAATTTAGCGACATTTTATTTTCAAAATAATTGGAATTAACAATGTTTTTTTTTAAAAATTTTTGTGCTTTTCACACTAAGTTTTATTTGACGTGTATTTAAGCCGATTACAATCCAGTTATGGGTCAGGAAAGCAGAAAAGTACAGATAGGTTTTGTGTGAATTACGTCTTGTAATTCAACCAATTAAATAATATTAGAAAAAGACGACTTTGCATCACCAGTATAAATGATTAAATCGAGTTTAGTAGCCATAACTTTAAATAATTCATAGCATGATAAATTTAAACTAAATAAGTCTAAAATTCTCAATAATTGAAAAACAAGGTTGTATGAAATAATTTAGAATACAATTCAAATATAAAACATGATTTGATAATTGAGACGAAATATTGAATTTCTCCGGATGATTTAATGCTAAATAAGGTCTAAATTTAGTTGTGCGAGATTAATATTAATAAAAATATTTCTAACGTGAGGCTTCCGTATATTATTTTAGTTGAAAATTCATAATTTTTAAATATACTGTATTTTCCTTTCAGATCTGCGATGACAGTATCACGGCCAAGACTTATATAGACAATATGATTGTAGGCTGCGCCTTTTTAGTGGGTTTCATCATACAGGGTGCCCTATTGAATCCTTTGGGTCGCAAAAATGTTTTATTAGCCGCATTGGCCATTGGTACTCTAAGTGGCATTCTGTTGCACTTTGTTACTAATACACAAGTTGTACTGGTGCTATTCTGCTTGTATATACTGATGCCGGGATTATCCATATCGATTATGTGCGGTGCCATGGTGGATTTGGTGCCAACGCAATTAAGGTGAATATTGAAATAATGAAATGTTATTTTGTTCGATAAAAATTTATTATATAAGAATTTTTCGTTTAGAGGTAAAGCGGTTAGTATTGGCTTGGCGATGGGTCGCCTGGGCGTGATAGTTGCTTCTAATTTGATTGGTGTTATGCTGGAGCCCTATTGTAATACCACTTTTGCCATCCTCACGGCGTCGATTATAAGTACGAATTTTATAATTTTTATATGAACTATTTTTATTATTGTTGCTTTGGTGTTTTTTAGTCTGCGGCTTTTTAGTGCACTTCCTACCTATATGAGAAAGATACCAAGCTGCTGTTTTGTTTTACGAGTAAGCCTACGAATGACCCATATCAAAATTTTTAATGCATTTTGCTCTTATTGCTGTGGTTTTACACAATTTGCTTTTATTTTCTTGTGACATTTATAATATTTTAACATTGGTTATAAGCTTTATCATCCAAAAGCCCTTTTTTCATATACGAGTATAGATATATATATATACAATTTCATCTATAGCGAAATGAGTTTATAAAAAAAAAAGTAAATACAAATTACATACATTTTAGCAGGCAATAATTAAAAACTTGCTATTCTTTTAATACTGTACATAAACTCATTAAGTTGAGGGAAATTAGTCTCCATTATGGGACAACTATTATACTTTTATGGGCCAAATTCTAATCTAGCGTTTTTGAAATAATCACTGCTGAATCCTTTGCCAGGGTACTTGAAATTCATATGTTCCATACTGTTTACCTTAAAAAGGTTCTTCAGCGGAAAAATTTTCTTTAGCTCGAGCCTACAACAAGAAGATCACATAATGAGAAAAACATAGAAAGACACTCTAGCCAGATTTGATTACATCACGTATCACGTCAGGATTTTGGAGCAAATGTTGGCGAAGAAGCAATAATATCGGCGCGCGCTTACCGAATCTGTTAAAAAAAAACAACAGTGTATTATATTATATTTTTATATTATATATATTATTATATTTTTTTTCGTGCGTTGATACAATTACCTAGCTCGTGCCCGATCGCCATAGTATGTGTCCAGGTCCTGTAAATATTTGAGTGCGTCGGCCATGTTGCTGATGTCATTGTTGCGTGGCGGACGGGAGTTGTTGGCTGTTGTTGTGTGTGCGGTCAGTAGTGCTAAGGAAATAATCACAATGATAGCGAAGCGTGGAATTGAAGACATTGCTGTAAAAGTAAAAGAATTAGTTGTAAGGTTAAATGCAATTTTAAACGAAGTTTGTCTATCTCTAAAGTAAGTAACTACTTTCCTACTGAAGAGAATTTGCCCGGTGGCATGCTAACTACAAATATTCATATGACCTTTGGAAAGGCAATGCATTCTCAGCTGCGCACGAACCAAAAACCAAGAATTAAAAAGAAATCCTTTGGCTTTAAAGGGACGTTAAACGCTGCTATTTAGCCCATCTCGATAAGAACCGAAGCTGTGCGAACCATTAAAAAATCGGCTCCTTAGATTGAAATGTGGTAAATTATTCGTGAAGTAGGAAGCGAAAAAAATTTATGTTGCTTTTGTTTTGTTAAAACTAACTGTATATATATTCAAAACAACTTCATAAATAGATCACTATGAGAATCTAATAATTTGAGTCTCATAACGTGATAATTAATATTTTGATTTTTTTCACTAAAGGCAACTGAAGCAACAACTGATATTCACATAAACTCAGTATTTGGAAATAAATGCCATCGATTTAGTTGAAGTGAGAACACTTTTCGAAAAATGTAATTTACCAGTCACTATTTAAATTTACGAACACTAAATTTGTCTTAATTTAACTTACTTCTACGTAATGGCTTCTAACGGAGTGCGCACCAATTATTAAACATTTGTCGCTACCACTCGTTTTGGCTACTAATGAGCTTCGCTGGTTTCCGCTCCTTTTATATCCATAAATGTTATCTGTATTTCCCGAGAGGAAATACGATCGCTCGTGTGTCAAAAAGAGATGACAAACAAAAGCAACAATTGTCATAGCAATGTGGTAGAAATGTAAACTGAATAATTGAGGCCGGAAAATGAAAAAGATGTAAGAAATGGAAATAGAAGGCTAATAAGGTCATACCTGTTGTGCTTAATAAAACGTGTTGTTGTTTTGCCAAACTTTGTTTTTAGAATTTCATTAAAAGAAATGGTAGACAGAAGAAACCACAAGACTGCATAATGAAATGAAGAAAGTTTATCTCTTCCATATGTTAGCATACGCAAATGTTTTTTTTTATTCTAAATTCATACAAATGAATATATATTATAATAATAAAATTGGCAATGCTAATAATTGGCAGTTAAATTATTAATTTAAACTATTGCTAATACGCTTACGAATACGCTGGTGATAGCTTATTATTGCAAAGAAAAAATAATTACTATTCCAGCGACTTTTCGCGCTTGCTATTGTTGTGTGGTAGTTGTGGTTGTGGCGGTAGAGCATGCATGGTGGAAGGTGTGACACATCATACATAAACCAAAAACGCCGCTGCCCACTAATTATTTCTGGTGCTTATTAATGGATTATGAATTCCGACGCATAAAACAAATTGAATTTTCGCATATCTGCATTTTTGATGAAAGCTCGTCAAACACTACCCCTGCTGCTGGCAGATAAATCATTTGGGGCATACGGAATTAGTCGGAGTGGGCCACGCTAGTTCACTTACCATATATCGAATATCATTTATGATGGAATTCCGATTGTATTGCCATGCTTAACTTGTTGAATTTCAGTTTAACCTAATCCTTTCGCGCAGCCCCACATATCTGTTTGGTTAGCGGCACTTTCACTGGCACTTACTCGTGACTCACCTCACAACTGCTGGCCACTTTTATCGCACTCATTTGAGACGACTGACATTCGTTCATGATGATTTTTATACATTTGAAGTGAAATCATAATTGGTTTACTTTGAAATCACAAACCAAATAATTGAAAGCTTTCGCTGATAACGAGAAGCGTCGATTGCCATTAGTAGACAAACACTGACTAGCGACAAATCAGTTGTATGAAACTAGATATGTGCTTATATTTGTTTTTGTGAGGCCTGAGATTATTGGGTATGCTATTAAATGGTTAATTGTTATCGTTAATGATAGACAACAGGATTGTGCCTACTTAACACTTTTCATGCGTCACGCTTCAGATCTATTTATATATCAATCGGAATTCCCATGCTTTGAACGGCACCGTTACATACATATTTACTTTGATAACCGTGTCGATATGTTTAAATATTTACGTTTTTACTGCCAATTTTGTATTTAATTGTAGCATTATAGGTAAGCAGCCCAATAATAATAATGAGCCGTAAAGTTGTTGCGCTTGAGCTCGAGCGAATAAATATTAGTTTTTTTCAACTAACGGTTATTTATAATAGCTTAGATTGGCTATATCCTATATACTTATAATTATTTGGCACTTATATAACAACTAATCACGACTCGACTCAAAAAATGGTATTATTGACGTTTAGTTTGCCTTTATCATCAGTTTTGAAAAAGGTAGGAACCAATAATGCCTTCGAGATGTATGTACATCAAACCAGGCAGTAACTTTTCCTGGATGTAAGGGACCATAAGGAGTCTGTTTAGGATTATTTGCACTATAAATTTGTTAATTTTGATCATTTATGACTATACTGGCTAAGCTGAAAATTTCCCTTATTGCTAATATACAGACAGCTATCGCACTAGAAATACTGAACTCAATAACTAATTTGCACTTGTCTTGTTTTTTCGGACCAGTTAATTTTCAATCCGGAATCAGTAGTTTTATTATAATTGTAGTTTACAGCCTATTTCGATTACAGTTAGAAATTTCTGTTCTACTTATAGTATTTTTCTCGTCCAGTCCCATGCTTCTCTACATGCAGACTATAATTCTAAAATCTTGTTGTTACAATCCTAAATCGTTTAGAAATAACTAATTGCGTTTGGTTTTCTTTTGTTCACTTTAAAAGTGCATATATATATTTGTACAACTATTTTCTTTATATTACTACTTTTATTAATAAAAACTCGGGCAGATGTTCAAAAATACATACACATTATAGTATAATTCAAAAAAACTTGCTCCAAAAGTTTTCAGAAGATTACTGAAGAGATTCGATATGACTTTAACTTTGTGATGTTATTATATTGTTTACAGATGTGGCTGGCGTTAGGCTTTTATTTCATTTGCTTCTTTGTCCGTTGCTTTTAATTAGAGGGCTCCAGGTAGTTATTTAATAGACTTCATCCACTGACTTATATTCAGCGTTGTGTAACTGTCCAATCCAAGCGAACGAAAGTTCGATAAATAATATAGTTTAAATATCGTTTAATTTAATATTAATATAATATTTCATATAAACAGTTAATTATTATCCAAATTATTTACCAGCTCTGGGTTTTCCAGTAGGTGTTGCCGCAAAAGCTGTACCAATGGTGTGCGCTTGCCGAATCTACGGTCAAAAATAATTAGTCAATTTGTTAATCATACGCCGTGGTGCACTCTCTCTTCAGTGATTATTACCTGGCACGCGCCCGATCGCCATAGTATGCGTCCAGGTCCTGTAAATATCTTAGTGCGTCGGCCATATTGCTGATGTCATTGTTGCGTGGCGGCCGCGAGTTACTGGCCGAGGTGTTGTGAGCACTCAAGAGCACCACGACAATAAGCAGGAGAAAACAACAACGTAGTATCGCCGACATGACTGTAAGGTTTGTAAAAAGAAAACCGGTCTCATAGATTAAATACGTATGCGATTAAAATACATTTCACCTTACATTTCTAAGGATACTAAGTTCGTACATAATAATATAAGAAAATAATATAATAAAAAATAATTCAGAAATTTGTATTCTGACTTTTTTCATTATTAGCGATTTGAGTTTATCATTGCGGTTTTAATTAAGTAAATTTTCCAAATAACTTTTGAAAATAATTAGTATTAGATTTTTTATAAATCCTTCTATATCAAAAACCAGAAAACCTTCCGAATCCACAACCAACCGAGATTAAGATACAACATCTTAATAAATTTTATAAACTTTAATATTTTTATCACTTCGAATTTTTGAAACATTAACTTTATTTGAACCTTACCTTATCGCTTTCAATTCGCTGGGTAAAGTATAGAAAGAACTCTTACAAATTCGTATCCTCAATAAATTTAGTAAAAATATTTGCAGACTGACTTTGAGCCAACTGCTAAATGTGCACCGCTATGACACGCTTGTTCAACTGTTGACTGTTGCAAGTCCTGCACATCTTTTATATTCGTTTCCGTCGTGTATAAAGTTGAAGCAGCGAATACGATCGTTTACCACAGGTAATTTGCAAACACGCAGAAGTGACACGAGCATGTTAATGAAAACCAAAGCTGTCATTTGGGGTCCGGCAATTGTTGTTATTTTATCTTCGAACACTGGAAGCCAGCTCGTCAAATTCGCGAAACCACCACGGTACGTAAGTAGGCACAAAAAGAGCATAATAGATCATTTTTATTATTTCATGGAATTTATATTGTTTTATTTGGTTTTTGTAACAGTAATAATTAGTAGGTAATTTTTGTTCTCCTCAGTGTCTCATATTTTAATAACAGCTGTGGTTAGGTCATGTAAGCTGCATATACTCTTCTGTAACGCGTGTAAAAGTGTGTGCATTTGTATATAAAGTTCATTTTGAGAGATATTACAATTGACAGTTGCTTAATTAGCAAACTTACTTGTGCCGACTTTTTAAATTGTTACGAGCGCTTCGATAACGTGCTTCATCTTGCATTAAGAAAGTAAGTGTAAGAGAAAGATATTTAAAGAAAGGTACTGAAATTCTTTACCTTAACCGGAATACATAAACAAATTTAAAATGTATAAATTTAAGAATTTCTTAGGAAAAAAAGTTTTTTCTAAAAATTTCTATGTACATATTGTATATTCTATATTTTACAGACCTCTCAATACAACCCAGTTATAGGAAAAGTTTACGTTTAGTGATAAATTATGATTTTTAGTAATTTTTGAAATAAACTACAAATTAAACAAATTTTTCAAATAAGTAAACCGTTTAATTGTGTTTCTGATTTGGTCACTAGGTAATATGTGACAAGACGACAATATCACATTTGGTAGGTAATAACATTTGATACTGAAAGCATTATGTTTTAGTGGCGCACAAATCGAAATTGAACTTTGTCTTTCACACCTGCATATCAGCTTATCAAATACTGAAGTTTGTAGTGAGGCATGCCACAGAATACGCATGGATATTATTTCGTTTTTATTTACGCTCCACTTCCATACTAAATCCTTTTTCAGCATATTTGTCTCAATTATGAAATGGGAAATTAATAAAGTCCCCGCCGACTATATGGCAGATAAAAACTTTAGTTCTAGCCGCCGGCTGATTGAAAGGGATTTACGTTAATCGCGGCTCATTTGAATGTAACACTTGAACATTTATTACAACTTTATTGGCGACCGCTGTAACTATCGCGTTGAATGCGTGACTACCGTTCGGTTGGTTGTGGGTACAAATTCCCATTTTTGCTTATAGAAAGGAAGTATATTAGGTTTAAAACTTTATACGTATAATAAACCCAGCATGAAAACGTTTTTAACAAAATGAAATCATTTGTTCGGTGGCGACCAAATATCGAACACCGGTAGAAGTTACGTTGAACACTACCAAACCCTTTGAACAGCGGGCGGAATTGAACTATAACCTCGCCCACTTCTAACAGAACCATAATTCATGAATGACTATCTGGACGTCTTTGATTTGCACAAATTACATGCATTTAAAGATTGACAGCGCCCAAATTTAGTTCATCCTTAATAGTTAATTATTGTAGTTTGTTGCTGATTAGTTAGAGATGCTTATATGTAAGTGTACGAATATATATCAATTTTATTCAATTAATTGATTCTGATTAAAAAGTTACTTTTGTGCGTACATTTGATTCGTTTCTAACGTAACTGGCCGGCGACAGATATCGATACGTGATAAATGTGAAGCCAACACCTTGACATCTGACATCAGATATCTTTATCGAAAATGATTGTGGTGCAAACCACTATTCTACAAATATCAAATGAATGATTTTATACTATTATAATATATACATATAATATATTACTATATTTGCATTTTTGTTATATATAGGTACATGCATATTCTATATAAATACAAACATGTTTATCAGTTAGATTTGCGCGGAATTTACTTGAATGCCATTTATTGCCTATAACAATTCCGTTTAACTTTGTTCTATAGGACTCGTAGTTTTGCCAGAAATCCAGATAAAAAAGTTGTTAACCTTTAGAAATTCAACTACGCACCTCTCCTTCCTTTTATCGACTTCAGATCGGCCGCAAATTTTTTTTCCTTTAATGTTTGTCATTTTATCTTTCGTTTCCAATGGTTTTCAACCCACTATCATATTCAAAGCCTCCTGCACTAGTCTATATATGTCGCTCGACGTGGTGTAGTAGTAAAAGTGGCATGCAACTTCCATACAGGATCTTAGTTCAATGTCGATTCAGAATGACATAAAAAGATTTTTAGATTTTTTTTCGCTGATTTTTTTTCAAATCATGAAACCTATATCTGCCATGACGAAGTTTCTTTTGGCATATGTTGACATATTGACGGATAACATTAAGGCACACAAAGGAGAAGCACCGATGGAAAAGGGTATTATTCCTACAAAAACTACTATTCCTTTTCCCTTTGATCTGGTGGGATAATTGTGAGATATATGATCTTATAATACAAAAAAGACTAAATATATACAATTGAAAATAGTAAGGGTTTTTCGATTTTTTAAATGATCTAATACGGGAAGATTCTCTGGCGAATCGCTAACTACATTTCAAGAATCAACAAATCTTATACGTGAACTCAAATCTTTGCTGGTGATATAGTTATGGCAAGAGCTATTTGAACAAAGGTATCCCATGTATCTACTAACCAACTATGCCTACATGATCGCACGACTCCAAACATTCATCAACAGTTGCATACGAATCATCTAACCTAAAACTATAAGCAATCTAGTGCTGTGGAAGAAACAGGAATCTGTACTGAAGCAAATAAGCATATTCTGAGAAAGACTCCAGACAGCAATAGTAGGACATCTCCTGGCTGAAATCCGCAGAGGGTCTCGGCCGACCAAAATAAACATAGAGCACGACGGTAATGCGCTAATATACCATGCAAAAATCACTTGAGATGGCACAAAGACCACAGTCCTCAATTGTGCATCAGTGAAGAGTAACAAAAAAAAAAAAAAACAGCCCTCACTACATCTTAAATTATAACAAGTTAAACATTGTTATATTTTGGAACTAAAAACATATTGTACACTATTTGTTTTTAAATTACTATAACCAATTCTAAGCAATATGCATTAATTTTCCCAGTATTTTCTCATAACTTCTGTCTGTTTAAAAAGCTTCTGTTAAACAATCACCGCTAAGAAATAACTACTATGTTAACAGCTTTTAAAATTTTGCACTTTATACAACCGAGCTTTAAAAATTAAACGTTTATAGAAGCTTAAAACAAGTGCTGAGAACAAAAAGCTTCCAAATATGGCGCTCATTTGCTGACCACTAAACAAAAGTCTGTTGGATTCAAAAGTTACACATATTAAAATTAATGAATTGACAAAAGCATAGTGACTTTCAAATGGATTTTACAGATATGAGAAAATTTTTTCTATTTATTTATTCTCATTATTTACATAATACTATGTTTAATCTATTATGCGGATGTCAAAGTTTGCATATTACATGTACTAGTATTAAAGAACTGCTAAAATTAAGTTGAACTTCACACTTCTTTTTTTTGTGCTACTTGGAAGGTGTAATGAAATTTTTGTGTAATGTTATTGAATCATATAGTATATCAACAGCAACTAAATAACAGTAGGAATACGTAGTTAATGTGCGCATAGGCAAATTAATAACCTTACTTTTTTGAAGGCAACAATTAAATGCAGCGGAAAGTGTTGCCAATGTGAACGGTCGATGTATCATTTCGCCAGATAAATTGTGCAAAACAAGGAAAACTTCTTAAAACACATTAGCGGCTCTCCGTAGTGTGGAATCTATCACCTAAACGGAACCCCATTAGAATTAGTCCAAAATTTTGCAGCTCATAAAATAATAAATAGAACAGCAATTAGCTAATTTTAGTAGCGAATTTGTTATTTTTACTTGTCACTTTCATTCTGAAAATTTGTTTGCTTCTTAATATTGAAGTCAAATTGTAATGGGCAACTATCTAGTGAACAATGATTACATACATGTTTGTTGTACTTTATATTACCTACTCGAGTTGTGTGAAGCTTATATTAAGATCATGTATTTATGACTCTGGCCTCCTTGTGATGCGTCAGAGGAGTGATCAACTTTATATATAACGGCTTTTGTTAAGGCTAAATATGTTCGAAAGTAGTCACGTAGTCACTGAAGATTTATTTTTAAATAACTCAAATGTAAGTGTATTTACATATTTGCATATAGAATATATGTACATACACATATGAAAAAACTTTAATTTAATGTTGACTTTTGAGTTTTAAATTATGTTCACAGTTGTCTTTCGAAAATCTTTCACTGATACATAGATGGCACTAGTGAAATTAAATCCATATGATTTTTGGTCAACCTTAACCTTCAAAAGATTCATGAACAGTTTTGACAGCTGGCAAACTATTAGTTTATGAGATATAGCATTGCTTTTTGGGGGGAAAAGTGCTGTTGAAGTCATGGTTTGGCTTGATGAACATTATTCGAGTTCTGCAGCAGGGAAATCAGCCCCTGGTTTGCTAAGTTTCAACGTGGCGAAATAAGCACCGAGGACGATGCACGCAGTGGACGCTCCAAACAGGCTGTTACCGATGAAAATGTCGAAAGAGTCCCCAAAATATTTTTTGATGACCGCAAAGTGAAGTTATTCGCGATAGCTGAGATAGCAAAGACATCCAAGAAATGAATTGGATATATCATATGGTGAATAAATATTTGGGTATGCGAAAGTTCTGTGAAAAGTGGGTGCCGCGCAAGCTCACAATCCATCAAACACAAGTCTGTTTAATCGTAGTAAAACCTAATTTTTGCGTCCATATGTGAGTCCAATCGACTATCAGCCGACTGGCCTTTTAGGCTTATTTTGAGGCTAACAACAAATTATACTATAAAAAAGGTATTGAAAAATTTTATGACCGCTATAATCGTTGAATCGCCCTTGAAGGTAACTATATTAAAAAATAAAATAAAAATTTTACCAAAAAAAAAAATGTGTTTTCTATGTTAGCCTAGGAACTTTTCAGCCCACCTGTCGGTGGCAAACGGTCGTAGTGGAATCCAGAATCGATTTGAAATTTGGCATAGATTATTGTCCAAGTT